AGACAGGGAGAGGCCCTGGGAAGGATTGACAGACTTCCTGCTTAATATTTAATCTCCTGTAGATGAGAGACGCCAGTTCGATGTCAATACACAAAAGAAAGAGACAGAGATCTGGGTCATAGTTTAACAGGTGCCAAAGAAGATTCATCTTATAACGCGGAGCACCGATGAAACAAAGAGCTAAACCAGTTCTACTAGCGTCATTTTCACGAGCGACTGCATCACCAGATGCACTTTGTGTCGAGATTCTGACGGGATCCACGATTGACAGGAGGGTCTCTGATCTGGATGTTGTGTCGCCTCACAAGAACAATTACCATCCTTATCATAAAACGTGTAGGCCACCATATTCATGTTGGTGAAAATGGGGTTGGCACAGCAACCCTGCCGCCTCTCTGTTCCTCTCTATGCATGTGGCGGTGTCCACCTACATTCTAAGAACATGCAGTCCAGCTAAGCTTATGTGCACGTTTGCTTGCAAGTTCTTTGGGAAGGACTGACACTTCCACCTTAGACATTCCCCATACTCTTTGACAGCCCGTGGCTCAGTACGAAAGACACTGCATACTTAGCTACAGAAAATGAATGCATGAATGAGAATGAATGAATGGCTATTAGTGAATCATGGCTGGAAAAAAAAAAAACAAGGAAGCTTAAGCTTAAAATAAAAGACACCAATAACACGGGATTGAACTAACTTAACTGAATCCTTAATTGCTAACCTAGTTTATGAAAAGCGTAAGACTGTAATTCAGTGAGTGGATGTACAATCCACACATAAGAAATATTTCCAGTTCACAAACGTTAGCAATTGTTGAGTTATTAGGGCAGTAACAGGCTGTCCATCAGTGCCGATACGGCCGAAGCAGCGAGATTACGACCAGCCCGGCATGCTTTCACTGTGTTCATCTCGTCGAAATCAGTAAGTGTAGTATATAATTTATCAGCGTTAGCTACCGCAGACCCTCTAAACACTACGTATGTTTGATTTACTGGCTCGTTAAACCCCAAATCCGCACGATACTGTGCATTTTAACACTCCGTAGGACGCCAACGTGGAGCACACTGTTGAGGAGCCGCATGTGGTTCCTCTCCTTCGTGATGTGGGAGAGAAAACATCTGTACTCCTAAGGAAAGTAGCTAGCTGTGCAACCCTGAAAACCAGCGCTCCAATGCTGGAGGACGTGGGCTTCATTTAAATGGATATATTTACTGTTAAAGTTCAGTCTGTGTTGTTCAACCGACAGGACATGCAATTCTACTTTTGCTCAAAAGCAATGGCTTCATGATCTCATTGCATAGATTTGCATAGACAGGTCAGGGCAACCAGCCGTCCTTCTCTTCGTAAATTCAGTGCATCTGTAACCCTTTTTTAGTCTTCTCCAAAACATCTCCATTTCGAAATCATGCCATTCAATTTCACACTTGCCAGGATTATTACTTTACAATCACTCGGCTTCTGGTATCGGAAAGAACTGGAAATAGACACCTTAAAACCCGCCGCATATCATTCAAGCGTAGGCACAGTATTGAACTATATATAATCTGGCTAACTAGTCAGCTTCAAGTTGAATCGACGAAGTCAAGCAACATCTCAACAGAGAATTTGTAGCCAAGACAAACCGGCCAGCTGTACAGTTCACTCACCTTTAAAAATACAAACGACCGGAATAATTAAATCTGTAAAAGCCAGTTAACTCCAACACCTTTGTGAAAAATAAACACGCATCCGTAGGTCAATTTCTATCCATACTTTAAACGATCATTTACGTACAGGGATTGCTTCCTCCACTCAGCCAACGCCACGATCGCACCGGCTGCCTTCGGCGAATGACAGATACCGATTTTTAAAAATGATGTGGTTTCCAGACGGAAGATTTTGAGCGACACACAATAAGCAAAGTATTGGTGCGCACTGAGCCCTCCCAGCGTAATAGGTTCCCCGTTCCGCTGGTCTGCTGCCTTTGTCAGTCAAACTGGTACTTTCGTAATATCAGAAATTTATCTTCGCATTACAAAATGATTTTATTGAATCAACTCATTCACAATTAAATGGATAAAGTCTCGAACTACCAGAAATGCATTTTAAAGTAATTTAATCGACAGGCGGTATTTTGAAATCTCGTATAGATTACTGTAACAGGAGAACATTTTCAGGCATCGAGTGAGGGCAATCAAAACCTTTAACTGCCAAGAATAATACAGCGCATCAGTCGTGTCAGAAACAGTACGTGACCATGCATTAGCCACATGAATTAGTGTGCATATGTTCCCACGGCGAAGTCGCACCAGCAGAGAGTAAGCGGTCCGGCACGTCTACCAGGCAGAAGGTCAAGGAGAAGGCGGATATATAAGCGGCACCGTGAGGCTGCCTCAGCCTACCAATGAGATGTATGTACTTGGGGTGAAGGGATAGACATGAAGTATAGAGAAACAAGCTGAAATGTGGTATCCTTACAAAGCAAAGGCTTAAGTGACCATCTAGGTACATAATGTAAGCTGGCATTATGCTTTACTACAGCACAGAAAGGCAACAAGCTTTTAGGTAATGTGGCACGTATAGGAGTACTAGTTCAAATCCCAGCAGGGATACAGAAATTAATGAAATACTACATACACAGAACAGAAAAAGCTGCAAGCTATTTTAATTGAGTCTGTCAATAAAGGTAATTGTAATTGTTGTTGTATTGTAACAGCTTTCATTCAAGGTGGCTAAAGGGATAAGCCAAACCATGGTATATTACAGAATGTCGCATTGCATACAGGGTGCAACTGAGCAGTGAAGGGATACAGGATGCGGCCCCGCTGGACCTCAGGTGGAGGGGCTGAGCTCAGCGAGTCCAGCAGGGTCTGCACTCTCTGCGCATACTCCCCGGACAGACAGCAGGAGGCGCCCACCTGCAGCTAAATATGGAGACAGGTGGAGACAGCCTGGCAGATGAGGTTGCGTATTTGCTTGGATTACAGCTATTGAGTTTATCTGTAGAGCAAGATTTCTGACCATAATATTTCAGGTCAGGCATCTAGGGCAGTGTTTCCCAGTCCAGTCTTCGAGGACACAGAGTCGGTCCATGTTTTTGCTCCCTCCCAGCTTCCTACCAGACAATCCACATTTTTGCTCCTGGGGAGGAGCAAAAATGTGGACTGTCTGTGGGTCCCTGAGAACCGGATTGGGAAACAATGATCTAGGATAGAGGGAACTCAGACATTTGGATGTGCAACCTCTAACTGACAAAAACAAGTTATTCTTCTAGCAGACCAGCCACTGCTGAAGGGGCAGCCAGCTCCAGTTAGGAGCTCAGACATATTACACACACACACCATTTATCTCCCCACTTACTATTATTAAAGCAATTTTGTTAGAAGCATTTATGATGTCCGTGTGCAGCCCCTCAGTGACTCTATGCCAGTGCGGCTGTCTCTGAAAGTGCTTCCAAGATACATCTTCTTGACTGAGATGTGAAAAAGGATTCGATTTTCCTTTCATCGTAGACAAGGAAAAGTCACCTGTCACTCACCTGCCAATCACCACCCCGCAATAACTATTCCCACCACGAGGGCCGTGAAATGTCACCTCACCGGAAAGTGAGCTCCTGCGGGTTTGGCATTCTCCCCACAAATCGCCCGCTTTCTCCGCCAGCTCTGTTCCTGCAGTTTTCTAAATTGGGTGCATGTCGACCCTGACGCAGCACAGCTGTGCCTAATTAAAAATAAATGTGCTGTGTTCTCCGTCTTGCCGGGGCGCGCGCGGTTGCTAATTCTTGCCCGCTGATCAAGGGATCGATGATCAAAGTGCTCAGCTAGGAGGTGATTTGTTGTTTCTGCCAGGACAGGGGCACTGAAGAACAGCCATGCGACCAAGCAGCTGCAGCTCTGCCTGGATGTGGTCAAGGGGGAAGCTTTGCTCTCAGAGCCCCTGGGCAACCTAAGGGTGGAGGCAGGTCTACCTGTCTACATGTCTGTCAGGGATCATACTTGTATTTTTCGGGGGTGTACCTGTGTGAGAAGCCGTTTCAGGGCCTCTGCTGCCCTGCCTTCCAGCCTCTTCACTCCCCTCCTTTCTGCCAAGCCGACCAGTTGGGCCAGTCCCATCTCTCCTAATGCCCTCTCCCCGCCCAGGTGCACCATCTGTGAGCAGCAGCCTCAGTGTCAGGGCGGCGCCCTGGACCGCTTTACCATCCTCTCCAGGGAGGTGGTTTGGCCTTCGGTGACTGTGCCCGGTCGGCGTCAGCCTCCGTATCCATACACAAGGAGCAGGGTGAACCACAGCCCCTCCCCGCCAAGGGGTGAATCGATATATCAATAATGCATCACGCTCCCCTATCTGGCAAAACAGTTTAAAGGAAGTAAGGGCAAGAAGGGGATGTCTCACCAGGGACAGCAGGGCCAAGATGGCTGGGTGAAAGAGTTGGCTCCCCCCGGAGGCGAGCACAGAAAAGAGCAGGAAGCGGCTCCATGGCTGATATACTGTGTGCAGGGCTATGGACACAGGGAGGGGGGTCAGGGTGGTAGCAGGGATTTGCAGTTGCTGCAAAGGCCGTCACCTGACGGATGCTGCCTCCTACCCACGGTGGGGCTCCTCCTGTGTAGGAACCCCAGCAGAGACGCCAAGCAGCTCGCTGAGACGCTCAACAGGAACTCCTGCTTCTGATAGGGGGAGGAGAGAAGACAGGGAGGAGGAGCATGTGTGCATCAGTTTTGGGGGGGGGGCGGGGCTAAATAACATACTGCTTACAGCAGAGCTTCCCAATCTGGTCCCACAGTCAGTCCAGGTTTTTGCATCCTCCCAGCTCCCGGTAGGGAGCAAAACTGTGGACTGTCTGCCAGGGAGCAAAAACACAGACCGACTGGCTTTCAGAACCACAGTTAAACATTTTTTAAGTAGGTCAGATGGAAGAGAGAATGACTACTAGGAATGTAATCCTGCAAGGGGGATGGTTACATCATGGACAGGAATGGGAGAGAGAGAGGCCACAGGGCAAGCCGGCGCCACGCGGAGGACGGGGGGTACGTGGAGCTGCCATTTGTATATCTCAGCTCCTGTCCCCCACAATCCAGCCCCTCCACCAAGCTTGCCTGCAGCAGCAGCCCTTGCAGTGCGGTAAGCAGGCAGCGTGCCCGGTGGGAGCCCAGCGGCTGCAGGATGGCCTCCGTCTCCAGCAGGGGGCGGCAGTCGAAAGTCTCAGCCGTCAGGAGGAGCAGAGGAGACTGAAGGTCCAGGTCCAAGAGTGTCTGAAGCAGTCGGACGGAACAGGCTGTGGGGGGGGGGGGTAAAGGTGGGCGGAATGAGGTAGACAGAGAAGCACTGGGCAGGATCCAGGGCTCTTGAACATTCTCATGTAATCTAAGAAAGTTTAACTAGATGCTGTCAGACCGACAACGTATTGCCCGGATGGCCCGGTCACCCACACCTAATCTTAACTCCTCCAAACCCCCCCCAACATCTACCATCTCTGTCCCCCCTACACACTTTGTCCACCTCCCCACAAAAATCTTCCAACTGTGTATGACTTGTCTCAGTGTAATCAGGTTCACCAGATAGGCACCAGTGGCTCTCCTTGTGACACTGCTAAGTGACACTGCTTCAATTTTGTCACAATCTGTCCCAAAATGAAACAGGGCCCCAGATCAGTACCGATGCCGTGCATTTGAAAATCTGGAAAAAGATCTGTCAAATACTTTTTGAGTTAGTGTGCTTACAAGAACAGTGTCTACGGCAGTGGACCGTTCACTACAAAGTCGACTACTCAAACCAGAACGTCACTGTGTGAAGGTGTACAGGCTGAAAGCCATTCAGGGTTCAGCACAGTACCGAGTAAAAGGCTGTCAGTCTGGCTCTTCCTTAAGGTGAGCAGCTGCACGATTTCGTCCAGGTTCAAAGAAATCCGTTTTTGGACCTGGAAAAAATATGTAGATCCTCATGATGACTATTGACCACTCCTCTGCTCCTTCTTCCAGCTGTGGCCCTCGTCACCAGCTGGGTCATTAAGGGGTTAACCCGGTGACAGTGTGAAGGAAACGTTTTGTAGACATATAGGGCACTTGGCAAAGGCACGGGACGGCAAACCTGTGCGGAGTTAGCGTCGCGCTGAGTGAGGAGTGAGGACAGGAGCAGACGGGCCCCGCAGAGCAGGGAGACAGAGGGGGAGGAAAGTGCCGTCTGCAGCTGCTCCAGCAGTGCGCCGTTACACAGCAGTATGGACAACACTGCAGGAGACAGAGAGAGAGAGGAAGCAGACGGAGGAGCAGAGAACACCGTGGGCCTCTGACTGCGCATGCATGTACACAGGCTACACATGCTGCGCATGCGTACATGAAAGGGACAAGCTGGCCTGCGCCAGACGACTGCGGCTATGTGCCGCCCACCCCGAGTGACCCATCTGATTGGCCGTTACCTCTGTCTGCGCAGTGTGCAGGTGACAGCGACAGGCAGCAGTACAGGTAGTTGATGGCCAGTAGCAGAGGCTGTGTGTCGGAGGGCTTCAGTTTGGCCGCCAGGTTACTCACTGGGCGACCGGACAGTCAGAGAAGCAGCATCAGTCTACGGATGGCCAAGTGCCCAGCCTCAGTTTTGTCAGGCAGATTCCCCACGATGCCCCGGGCTTCACCATGGAAGAGAAGCTTAAAGTCTGTGCCGTCCATGTCTGCGGCCGCACGGTCAGAGGTCAGCGCCAGACACAGCAGCTGCAGGACCAGTGTCAGCGAGTCCTGGGCTGCAGGTCGCGTTGAGGGTGACGGGAAAGCAGCACATGTAAAAATCATAAGACACGCAGAGTGTATGAGCACCGACCCCCCCACACCTCGACTGAGGCTAAGCAGTTAGCTGCATAAATGGCCTCTTCACCCCCCCCCACCTCCCAGCTCGGCTTGGCTATGCTCCACTGCCAGTCTCTGGAGGACCTGCAGCAGTCGGGGACGCAGGTCCAGGATGGCCGTGTCGCACTGGGGCTGGCCTTGTAAGAACCTGCTCAGGACTTGCAGAGCTCGGTGGGCCAGCGGGGACTCCCCCCTGCAGACCAGGCCCTGGTCACCATGGGACACGCACAGTCAGACCAGAGTATGACAGAGAACTGGAGCTGCACGCGTACAGTCAGACCAGAGTATGACAGAGAACTGGAGCTGCGCAAAATGCTGCATTTACAATACAGTACTGACCACTATACTGAATACTGTATAGTATAAAGCAGTATGAAGTAGTACTTTAGTACAGTGTAGTATGGTGTAGTATAGTGCAGTATGATGTGGAATAAAAGTAGTAACACAATATACTATGGTGTACTATGGTATTATATGGTGCCCTCTGTCTATCTGGAAGTGCCCCTATCTTTCACCAGCAGGGTCAGAACAGTCGTCGGCTTTTCCTCCATCAGGGGCAGCAGCACGGTGACATCATCACAGTCCCGGTCCGGCCCCGTGAGCTCTGCCCCCTCCGCCGCGGGGTCACGGCCACCGTGCGTGAACCACAGCTCCAGGACGCCGGCGCCGAAGGACTCCGCCAGCTCGGGGTAGCGGAAGATGAAGCGCAGCAGGGCGGGGCTGTGGGTGTACAGGGGCTGAAGGCCTGGGGCGCGGGACAGCGCCTTCCGGAGGCAGAGAAGGGGAGCCTGAGGCGCCGGGGTGCAGAGAGAGGCGGTCAGGATGACGGGCCAACACCAGTCTGACTGACCCATCACTCACGCGCTTGCTCAACAGCTTCTTCTTAAACCACACGTCTCAATGTGACACATTCCTCGGGATACAGCCGCCCTCCCCCCCCCCAGCCGGTCCGGATGCCGCACTGGTCCGTGCTCATTACCAGCGCGTCTCACCGAGGCAAGCTCGGGGCTCCCATCCTGCGTGACAGACAGCAGATAGAGGGCAGCTCGCAGGATACACAAGGGAGTGGGTTCATCCCCCTGCTCCTGTACCAAGCAGAGCACTGACAGGGTGCCGGAGAAGACTGCAGGGTCTGGCAGCAGCCTGGGCGCACACAACAAATAAACGGCATAAGCTGGCTTTACCTTGTTTAACTACATGTTCCATTCCATACAAGGCAGCTGCAGACTTGCTTAGCTCAATCTAAAGATGATTGCTTATGCTCGTATGCGGCTATTTGCTTCCGATGAGGCTAACTGCTCTCACACCTGTCTCCGTGTCGCAGGGCCAGGTAGAACAGCATCAGCAGGCCGTACTGTGTTGCCCTCAGCCCTGCGGACGCCTCCCGCAACAGCGAGGACCAATCGGACGGCCGTGAGCACAGGGATGGGAGACAACGCCGTAAGACATCCTCACCGTCTGGGGAGAGCAAGTGAGGGAGGATGGGGGGGGAGGAGGGTTAGAGGACAGAAAGACACGAGGAAGACATGGAAAGTCATACTGCTGACTGGAAGGGACGCAGGGAGAGAGACATTAATGACTGTACACACGTTGCGGATCTCGCATTGCTGCAAGGCTCTACCTGGCGGGGGGACGCCGTCGGCTCCCTCCAGCTGGGCCAGCAGGCACACGCTGAGCCTCTGCAGGAATTCGGCACAGGCGGCATTCAGTGCTGGGTTCCTGAAGGACACACGGAGAGCGGGGAGGAAGTGCAGAGCAGCCCGAGATAGAACACCAAACATTTGTGTTTAGTATCCCTTTGGGAGCCAGTGACTACAATTGCAATTAATAGCAAAATGGCAAGAACAGAACTGAATGAGTCAGTCAAAAAATTAGAACAATAAAAAGAAATGTGCGGATATGACAAACACTGCTTGTCGATGGACTTTTGTTATGAAACCAATAAATTCGCAACATTTTTACAGAATCAAACAAGCATACAAAGACTGTATGTGAGCACAGTATGTGCAAGAAGTCACGTAAGGTACAGAACAATCCAAAGTAAAGTTCATCCTGTACTTCTTACATATTCTTCACTACACTGGAGTGTATGACATTTTGACTTATTTGCAGTATGCCCAGATCACCACTAGGGGTGCAATTTAAATGACTCTTCCCACTGGCTCCAAGGCAGCCTGATGGCTTATCAGACGTTACCTGTTTCCTGCACAGAAGGCAGCTTTGTGCTTCAGAGTGAATCCAAAGAAACCAGAGGATGCTTTGAAAGATGAGAAAAATATCAGCACAAATAAACTGAAATCCCTCCAGCTACAATGGGGGGAAAAAAAACGTGTGATAAAAGGCAAGCTATTTCTTGTTTTTCATTTCCTATAAGAACTCCAGAAAGCGCAGAGCTTTTTCTCTGACAGCCCCACACCCCCAAATCCTGCCTTCATTATGCACTTACCCAGCTTTGCACAGAAACGGGGCATCATGGTAGGTAGGACGGAGAACTGGCAGCAGAGGATGATGAAGAGAGGCTGCAGCAGTGAGGGGCTGGGGGCCCTCTCACAGTGCCGCTGAGGGAGGGGGGCACAACCACGACATGAAAAAAAGTGAAGTGGTGCTTAAACTGGCTGCATTGTTGCGGTAGTCAGACACCCTGCACATTGACTTCAGGGAAGTGGATGAGGGGGGGGGGGTTTTGAGGGTGCAGGCTAGGCTTGGGTGGCATTATGGTAATAACCCCCCCCCCCTTCCCTTCCGGCAAATTATATCACCAAGATTTCAAAGTACCAGAATTGCATTGCTTTTGAAAATACCCTATACCGCAGTATATAATCTGGATGGTACAACAGCATTAAAAATTAGATACTGCCCAAGCCTACTGCTGGTTGAGGGGGTAGGATACTGGCTGGGGGGGGGGGGGTTAACTGGCAGGACTAGAGGGTGGCCCTTAAGGAGACGAACCTTCTGCTAATCACTGCTACCTACAAACAGGGACGTTGCTAGAGATATTGCCCCCCAATCTAGACCAATCCAGTCACGTTCCAAATTTTTCAGGGCCCCCCTTTCTCCCCCTTTACGGCGCCCCTGCCTAAAAAGGGCAGTGTCCAAGAAAGACTCAAGAATGACAATGCATAAACAGACACAGCACTAATGGTAGCTAGCGGGAGCTAATAAAGACTCCCAACAACGGTGAGTATACAGACAGTGCTAATGGTAGCTAACAAAGACTCCCAACGACGGTGAGTAAAGAGACAGTGCTAATGGTAGCTAACAAAGACTCCCAGCAAGAGTGAGCATTCAGAGGCAGTGCTAATGGTAGCTAATAAAGACTCCCAGCAAGAGTGAGCATCCATAGGCAGTGCTAATGGTAGCTAACAAAGACTCCCAGCAAGAGTGAGCATCCATAGGCAGTGCTAATGGTAGCTAACAAAGACTCCCAGCAAGAGTGAGCATCCAGAGGCAGTGCTAATGGTAGCTAATAAAGACTCCCAGTATAGACATTGTTAATGGTAACTAGCGGGAGCTAATAAAAAATCCCAGCAATGGTGAGTATAACGACTGTGCTAATGGCAGCTAGCGGGAGCTAATGAAGACTCACAGTGACAACAGGGATACAGGCTGTGTCACAGTAGCGCAGCAGGTGTTGGCAGAAGGAGCCCAGAGTGTTGTCCTCAGTAGGACAGTCTGGGGCGGTGAATGCGTTTTCCTCCATGCCCGGTACCCCAGCACACTGCTCTGCCAATCTGGGAAGGCAGACGAGATGCGCTGAGATCCTCCCTCTCCTTCACCTCAGCCTTCGGTCTCTGAAACGGTGCTGCGACATGGGGTGGCTGACCTGCAGGCTACCTGGAAGCAGGTCAGGGCCTGCAGCAGAAAGGCCCCCGCAGCAGAGGACTGACCCCTGGCTCCTGCCCCCGTCTGCTTCCAGTGAGACGGAGGGGAGGAGAGCGGGTTCAGGAAACACGTGCACTGCAATGCGCCCTGCTGACAGGCAGCTAGACCTAGAGCCTAACGTGACGGATTGGCTTTGTTGGTCATTAACACGCTGAAACTCACTGAGGCCCTGCGATTCGCAGCTGTGGGCAACGGCAGCTCCTTACATCTGTCCATCACAGCCTCCACCACCTTCTTCAGCTGTCTGTACTGCACAGGGCTGGACTGGTGGTTTAGCCTGGAGTTGGGCACAGGCCATAGAAAGACTCACACATGCAGATAGCAAGTCTGAGGCTCCTCTTCCTCTATATGAGGTGAATTCTGAAGTCATTCTTCTGTATTATTGTCTGTGTCCTTTTCAGTCAAGGTGGTTACACTTGTGCTCTGGTACGTATGTATGGCGATGGGAAGCAGTGCCCCTTTTTGAGAAACAGAGCGCCCCCCTGTGTCTGGCACCTGAGCAGGGCCGTGGCAGCTGAGGCAGCCTGCATCGCCACCTGCAGGCAGGGTGAGGCGATGGCCTCGAGCACCACCTCTACGGCACTGGCAAACACCAGAGCACTGGGGAACAGACCCAGTCTGACCGGCTGCCTGTACGCAAGGATGGAGAGAAGGAAAAAAAAGAAAGATACAGAGAAGCAGAAGAAGCAAGAGAAACAGCAGAAGTGCTTCTTGTATAAAACATAAATAGGTGCATCAGAAAAATAAAGTGATAACTTGCATAAATACAAAATAGGTCCTTTATTTCACTTCAGTTCGTTCCACATTTTATGAGTTGGGTCTTTCATCTCGTCTAGCAGAAACTTGCTCTAATTCAGGGTTCCCCGATTCCGGTTATGGGGGGCCAGACTGTGCTGCAGACTGGCTGGCCCTCCAGCGTCGGACATGGAGAACCCTGCTGCCATTCCTCCATCGATGGACCTACCGGTCCAAGATCTCGGTGAGCAGCATCAGGCCCTGTTTCTGCACCTCCACGCTGGTCAGGGTCAGCGCCTCCTTCAGGCTGCGCACGAGGGGCTCGATACCTGCAGGAGCCCCAGGTTACGCACTTGACATAATCACCCCGCTGTAGTGAAGGTGGATGACCACACAAACAGCCATCCCAGGCTGGGCTTTGCATTACAGTGCACTGGAGTATTTTACTGCAGCTTGAGCGTGAAAGGCAACCACAACCCCCACCCCCCACGCTTACCGTAAACAGAGTGACACTGGGAGAAAAACAGCGGGTCCTCTGTCATCAGCAGCAGGCAGCTATACACTGACCACAGCAGAACCTCACTACGGCTGCAAAGGCGCTCGCACAGGAACTCTGCGAAAAACACGCGCGTGTGCATGCAGGCAGACACGCGAGGCAGATTACGCAGCCGACACAAGACGCGTCCCGGCTGCCCGAGCGCACACCGATCACAGATGGGAGTGTGAAGACTAGGTGCGAATACTAGCGCAGCTAGTGCAGATGTTAATACAGATGTTAGCGCAGATGCAGGAGGAAAGGGAGAAGGTGCGAGAAAATGACAGAGAGGGACCCACCGGGAATGTCGGCCTGGATGAAGGCGGGGCAGTACTGGCTGGGGGAGTGCACCAGCACAGCAGCTATGCACTGGGCACTGGCCACCTGCAGACTTTCATCTCCACTCAGCAACAGCTGTAGCACATGAGCAGACAGCCACTGTGTACATGTACGAGACACGGACGGCCCGGGCACCCGGCCAGCGGTAGCGGTCACGATCGCGTCTGCACAGCTCGTGACGTCAGGCCCATTCTGACCTTCTTGAGGACCAGCGGAAGGCAGCAGGTCTCCAGGATCAGCTGGGGCTCCCGCTCCGTGGGAAGGTTCATCAGCAGGGACACGATATCACCCATCTTTATCACCTCCTTCAGGAAGCCTGACACCCACACACCAGCAGAGGATTACATGTGAATCACCAAGCAGACTGAGTGCGATATGTACTCAGCTCTGATAATAGCTACAGTGCATCTATACATCGTCCAAACGCTTATTCAATAAAGAGTATCCGGCTTGGGCCTGTCTCTGCACATACATGAAGCAAAGGTCATCACAGGGAACACATTCAATCACACAACATGGGACAGTGGTTCCCTCACCTTTCATGCTCAGTCCCACTCTCTCTAGTGATGGCCAAATGTAGCTTCATGAACCATTTGCTGTATTTTCTAACACCACTAGATGGTGCTCTCTGGCCAAAAAAGGGCTCAAAGCATGCCCCAAAGCAAACCAAGAGCACCATCTAGTGGGCTCAGAAAATATAGAAAGTGGTTTGTAAAGTGGTTCACTACCAACCTCTCCTTGGCACCACCACTTTCGCTGCCCCCACCCATTATCTGGACACACCCCTTTATTTGCCCCACCCCTTACATTGGGCCCTACCCTCTCACTAGTCCCCACCTCTGCCACAATTAGACTACGACTGTGTCCCAATTCAGGGGCCACACCCTTCTAAGGCTGCATTCGAAGGCCTAATGCAACACAGGGGCACGACATGGCTGTCCCATTTCGAAGGCTTCTTCAAATGCAGCCTATATGCGTATTCTTGTTTTCCTGGGCCATGAAGGATCCAGCTGATGGATCATTCGCAACCCAACCTATCCCACGGTTCCTTTTTTGCGGATTTTTAGAAGGACGTGGTGTACAAAGGCCATGTTGACCGCGTCCTTTGAAGGAAGCAGCCAATGAATTGGGACCCAGCTTATGGCTCCCCCGCCTCCTTACCCAGGCAGTTGATGGTGAGCTGTGGAGAGCAGGCATGGTGCAGTGTGTGCAAGACCTGTATGCAGACCCTGTCCCTGAGGGCCGGGGGCAGGGCTTGGGCAGCCCCAACGCACACCCACACCCTGTGGAACACGTAGCACACAGACGCCTTGAGTGCTTCATCTTGGGGCAGCAATGCCATGCTCAGCTGCTCCACCAGGGACACTGTAGGGGGAGGGACACAGATCAGCACCGCGATGACCTGAAAAACACAGGGATGCACGAGGCCCAGACGTCTGCAGCAGGAGTGTACTGTAACACAGCAGGTGAGAAGTACAGTGTAACACAGCAGGTGAGAAGTACAGTGTAACACAGCAGGTGAGAAGTACAGTGTAACACAGCAGGTGAGAAGTACACTTTCGCGACAGATGGCGGTAAGATGGGACTGTATGGGTGGGTCACAAACCACCTGTGTGTTAGACAAATTAAACAAAAAAGACTCAACCCTGTAAAAAGGAGACAAGTGTGCATCTGTGTGTGTGTATGACAGAAAAAGGGGAAGTAACACATACAAACCATTTAATAGCCCAGACTGAAATACAAACTAGTAAATATGACAGCAGCGGTGGGGTATTGAATGTGTAATTTCCTGTCCATCTTGGCTGTGACATAGACCTTTGCTTCTGTTCACAAACCACAGTGGGAAACAAACAACTCTGATGACTGTAGCAGTGTGCAGACATACACTGGCACAAAACACCCATAACTTCTGTTATTTGAGTGGACAGTCAGTTATGTTCAACCCTCACCCTAACTCTTTGTTGCATGCTGGATTTTCTGTGACAAGACTACAGTACCAAGTAAAAATTTAAAGGTCCCTAAATGTATAAAAGTTACTCAAGCAATAAGGAAAATGTGCACATTGAAGTATCAAGGCCTTACCATGATGTGCGACAAGGGTTTGGGGCAGAGCGGGCATGGCGTCCAGCAATTTTCCCAAGAAGTTGAAGGTGGGCAGTGATTCTCGCAAGCTGGCCCGATCGCACAGCTGGTTCGATCGCAAGTCAGGCCGATTGCATTGAACGAAGCAAGCGAAACAGAGAGAAACGACCAATCAGTGTCTGCCAGTCAAGAAGCAGCACAACGCCATGCTTTTTTTTTTTCAAGCGGCTCGGTGTACATTGAACTGTTGTGATATTCTAGCTGTAGCTTTCCTAATACCGTGCACTGCCTATTACCCTGGTGACCTATATAGCCTGTGGCATTCAAAGCTGATGACAGAAGAGGGGATTGAAGTTCACTGCATCTAGGGTTTAGCAGACAAACCACCCTCTAACCACACTGCTGCCTACTTCCGGTTTCTCGTCCCCCTAAACTTTCCAGGCATGCTTATCTCCCCCATAAGTCTAGACACAAAACCTACTAAAACCTGGGGATGGCTCTTCTCTGCACTTGTGTGGCCCAGAATGTGTGACTGCTGAGGTCAGGGGGTAAAGAATGAGATTTGAAAGTGAGCAATTAATGTAAATTAAAAGAAAAAGGAAACACTGAGCGGAACGGAGGTCACAGCAACGTAAGTACATCAGAGTGTCCCTACAGTCATTCAGGTCCCTCCTCTCTCACTCACCTGGGTCTGTACCTCCTCCAGGACATACTGTACGCACTGCTCACTCTGTAGCTCCAGGAGCAGATGAACAAGCACTGAAACGTAAACATGAGCTCACTCGTTTAAGCAAGAGAACAAACAAGCAGACTCGAGCCATCTCCAATAACGGGTTGGACATCGGCCTGAACTACATCACACAATCAAAGAGAAGCACAGTAGGGATGTTCACAGAGAATGCAATCATCTAGGGGTGAGTATGGTCTAGCAAGCTCACCCTGGATCACCTGCTCCAGGGCGAACGGCTCCTTCGTGCTTTGAAGCATACCTAAGTACAAGACAGGTATTAACAGATTTCTTTCTCTCTCCTAATTGTCCTTCTTGTAAGGCAGGGATAAATTCCAACCAAGGTCAGAACCTGTTACTTTCAAACATCATGTTTCTCCGTCTCCTCACCCACAGAGCAGCTCTTCAACTCACTTACCCAGAAGACTGTTGACAAAGTGCAGGCTGACCCTGTGATCCTGGAGAAGCACCTGCTTTAGGGCCTCAGGACATCCTCTTAATACCTCGCTGACACCAACCAGAGCCACAGACTTGCGCACTGACTGAGAGTATGCGTGACAAAGATATGGGGTATATATATATATATATATATATATATATATATATATATATATATATATAT